CTTCATACATTTATTAACTGAGCATTTACCACACGAAAGGATATATCCCGAGACAGAAACTCTCTGCTCTAATTAGGAAGCCTCATCTAGGAAGAGCATCTTTGTCTGGATTTTTAATCCTGCCTCTCCTTCTCATAGTACTAGCATCAGTAAGACTGAGCATGCTAACAACTCTTTACACACTTTCCATAGAGCGATTCTGACAATTTCTCTCCTCACTTCCCTCTCACCCTTGACAGAAGATGCTGAAATGCTTCAATTGTGCCCCTTTTGGTAGAACAACTATCTCCAACATATTCCAGACTTCAGAAATATAATAAATGCCCATCATCTACTTCTTTTTGCTTAAGCACAAGCATATCTCACATTTCACTTGGCTAGGTGTTCTTCAGCAGTTCACTCATCACACTGCTTATTTACCTTTGGACCTACTGACGCAGACTGGTATTAACCTGGGAGGTACAGCCCCGGCTCTATCATTTATAGAGGCTGGCTTTTACGTGATCTTCCCTTTCGTATCTGGGGCATCTTCACGTTAAAGTAACAGGCAACATACACAGCCTGAAGAGAAGCAGCTGGTTGTATACTACACTTTAATAAGGTAACTAAGGCTTATTTGAGTTCTTAAATGAATGGGTGTCTGAAAATTGCAAGGGTGTGACTGCTACTAAATGACAATACGCTTGGGACAGCTTATTTAGTCATGGAAAACCATCCAGTTTTAATGGGAAAGCTGCCTTCCCAAACACAAGCAATGGTCAGCAGACTAAAGCCCCACAACCAAGAAGGGGCAACACAGAAATGGTATGATCACCTGCACAGGCACGGCTTTATACTGTATTATACTGCTATTGGATAAATACATTCCAGTCATTTTTGCTGCTGCTGAAGTATAAACCAGTGACAAGGAACTGCTGCGTGTATGATTTGTCTAAGGCTGGGAATAAAAAATTAATAACATTTGATCCTATAGACAAGCAGCTATTAAAAAAGAATTACTGGAACACATGAACAAACACTACAGTAAAGCCCTTTTTATCAAAAATCTTCCAAGAAAGACACTGGGAAAAATTTAGAGCAAGTGGGGGATATGCAAGTGTACTAAAAGTATTCTTTTCTTGTTTACAGGGAAATCAAACCAGCCATGTGACATTTCACAAACACTGTGAGCCTTCAGTCAGGCACTGCTAAATGTAACCAAAGTGTAGTGGTTCCTATCTGAAATCACAGGGGTACAACAGACAGCCAGGAGCTACATCCTATTATGCAGCTCAGAGAAAATTCTCCAGCATGGAGAACACCAACTTCGCTGACTCTTGTGTTTAGTCTGCTTCTTCAGCCTTATTCACCTGAGCACATGGACTGCAGAGTCCCCCTCCTGCCAGACTGGCCCCATCTTGAATCAGAAACTTCTACTCTCACATCCTGTATTTTCTTGAGAAGAGTTAAGGACAATGGATTTGTGCTGAGACTGTGATTTAGACATCCCTCAGAGCAGTCAAATCCTCAAATCCTGAGAGAAACTTATCATAAAAATCTTTAAAAAATAGTGTACTGTAAGAACCTCAGAAACTAAGTGATGTCTCTCTATATATAATCTCTATAATTTATCCAAGATTTGTCTGATTGTCAGCAAAACATCCCAGTTCCCCTTTTATTTTCTACCTTCTTTGTATCATTATGTTGAGTAAGTTTTTCCCACTATACTATATCATTATGTTCACAGTATTTTCCCTGAAAAAAAAAGACAGTTGTTAGATACTTTACGAAGGAAAAATGATTATGTTCAAATGCCTCTGAGAAATGAAAAGCATAAGCAAGCAGGAGGTAAATTTTTTAGCTAAATTAAAATGTAGTCTTATCCTTTCTGTTTGGGGTATCAATTTCTAGAAGGTTTTTAATTGAGAAATTCTCCACACATGTTGGAATATCCTTCCAAATCCAGGCTGTAAAATAGACAACATGTACAGCCTACCTACAATATCCAAGGTAAACAGAAGTTGCTGACTCTCTGTTCAGAGACTGGGGATATGGAGCCCTTGAAGCTGAAGCTGACTGGGATGCACCGTGCCCTTCTACAGCAGCACAAAGAGAGGGGCACACACTCTTGGGCAGCATAAAAGCAAAAATAAGGCTGCAGCATGACTTCTAGGGCCCCACACGAACAAAATTACTCAACAGTGTAGGAGACATGGCCACAGAGGGTCTTCATAGACTTGTGAAGGTAGAAATAAAGCCATCAACTTGGGCTGGACAGGACCTCTTTGAAATTGCACTGAAGTGGTGTGAAACATCAGAAAGTTACCCATATCCTCTGCCCAGTCACAACCATACTGATTCTCTTGCTAGTTAAGCCGGTTTCCACTATATTTCTATAAACATACACTACCAATTCTCTCCTTTCTCTCCACTGAGTACTTGATAAGGTCATGAGTACATCCACTGAGACCAAATACTTCTATATATAGAAATAATTGCCTGTGGAATTAAGTGCACTTGCCTGGGTATCTAGTTCATACTAAACTTAATTTAGCTGATTCTTCTCATCTGTTATATCCATTATTAGGGACAGCGTATGCTGCCAGCTGCAGTACTGCCTATCAAAGGCAGAAACTAATTAACTAATTGTGTGGCAAGGATGAGCTCCTCTGTGGGAACATTCACAACCATCAGGTGCAGACAAACTATCACAAGGAAGAACCAGTTCCTCCAGCAAGCCATGTTACACACTCCTTTGTAAAGGAGGCAAAAGGAAGGTAGTGTACTCTAGAACATCAGTTCTCATTAAGTGCTTCAAATACATCCCACCCAAACAAAGCAAACATTTGAACAGACCCCGTCTCAGGCAAAGTGTAGTAGATAATATGAGCTGATTGTGAATATGGGAAATGAAATACAACTTTAAAAGAGGCTTTTGGGAAACAATGTTGAGTTTCTGGACATGCTGCGCCCCAAAGCAGGATTCCTGGAGAGGAAGAACCACCAGTAGTGGAAAAGGATCAAGTCATGAAGCTCTGAAAAAATCTCAACCCTTACAAGCCTGAGGATCCAGAGAGAGCAAACCAATGTCACTGCAATGTCTTTATCATTCCTATGATTTTTGAAAGTTGTGGAGAATGAGAGAGGTTCCCTACAACTGAAGAAAGGTGAATGTTGTACATGTCTTCGAAAAGGACAGTAACAAGCCATGGACCTATGGGCTGGTTAGCCTCACTCATCTTCCTGGGAAAACCATGAAGCAAATCTTCTCAGAAACTGCTTCTGAGTACATGAAGGTGAAGAAGTGACTGGAACCAGTCAGCACAGACTTACCAAAGGTAAACCATGTCCAACAAAACTGGTTGCCCTAAATAACAGTATGACTGAACTGTGATTGAGGGAGAGCATTGGATGTTTTCCACTTTGACTTTATCAAGGTTTTCCATACTTTCTCTTTACAGCATGCTGGTATGTCCAAGTTGTACAGTCTAGATGGTAGACTGTTAGCTGTGTGAAAAACTGGCTCAATCATCAGACTTAAAGGCCAGTGGTTAACACTTTGCATCTACCTGTAGACCAGTTATAAGTTAAATCCATGCTTAATACATTCTACCAGTGGCCTGAAGGAGGAAAACATACGCACCCACCTCAACCCTCAGATGATACACAACTCACTGGCATGTTCAATACCCTTGAGGGCAGGGCTGCTCTTCAGAGGGCCTTAGGCTGGAGAGAGGAATGGGCCAACAGGAGCCTTATGTGGCTCAGAAAGGACAAATGACAAGCCCTGCTTGTGGGAAGGAAGAGCCCTTGGCTATGAGACAGGCTGGGGACTGGCTGCCCAGGAAGCGACTCTGCCAAAAAAGACCTGAGGGCAAAAAGCTGAGCATGAACCAGCAGTGCCCTGGCAGCAAAAATGGCCAACAGCATCCTAAGTTATACCAACAAGAGCAAAGCCAGCAATCAGGTGAAGTGGTTATCCCCTTCCAGATATAGTCCAACGCAAGCTGGTTAATACATCCAGGCTGGGGCCCCATGATACAAGAAGAATGTTGACAAACCGGCACAACTTCAGAGGAGGTCCACCAAGACAGTCAGAGGGCTGGAGCACTTGCCCTGCACAGAAAGGCTGAGGAAACAAGGCTTGGCTGCAGTTCAGGATGGAGGCAAGATGGCCATGGGGGACTGCAAAGCTGCCTGTCAGTACCTATGGAAGGGCTGCTAAGAAGACAGACCCAGGCTCTTTACTGAAGTGCATCCAGGACAATGAGCGACGGTGGCCATGAATTGAACCAGGAGAGGTTTGAGCTTCATACACTGGCAGGATGCCACTGTGAGGACTATTTAAACACCAGATTCAACTGCCCAGAGAGGTTGTGGAATCTCTGCTCTCAGGCCCAGACAGACTGGCCAGAACAACTTGGTCTGAATTCACTATCAAGTCTGCTTTGAGTGGGATGTTGGACTGAAGGTCTCCTAAGGTCCTTTCCAGCCTGCGAGGTCCTTCCTACTTGCAGGCAGAGACCACAACTGGAACCCCTAGAAGGCAAACTGAACAAGATGTCTTTTCTTGTCCTCATGAGGAATGTCAGTCTCAGCTTGTCTAAAAGTCCTGGAGAGAAAACATTCTTTTTAAACAGATTCCACTGCAATGACTGTTCTCTTCTTATCACAGTTCTCCAGGTGCATTTCTCAACATTTAATTTTTTATCAACATGATGATAAGATCAACAGTATCAGCCCTATAGTAGGCTTGGTCTGAAACAGAAGATGTAACCCAGGTCAGGATTTATATACAGATTTAGAAGGAATAGGCTTAACCCATATCTACTATCTACTATGCTTTGCTCTGGTGTATTCAAAGTCATTCTTACTTTATATCAGCATAAAGTACAACCATGCTACTTGCCCAGTAGATTTCTTGATGTCCTTGGGAAAGAAGCTTTTAGATTTGAAACAGACAGTTATTTTTCAGAAGGCCTCCAAGCAATCACAAATAAATAAATGGAGCATTTACTTACTTATTCCTTGAAAAAGTTCCTCAATGTTAACAGCATTCTTTGCACTGGTTTCAACAACGATCGCACCTATAGATTCTGCATATTCTTTGGCATCCTTCATAGGAACCTCCCTACCAAAAAAAGAAAACAAACAAGAACATAACAAATTTTCAATAAATAATCAAAAACAGTGCAATCAAAAAAGCATTAGTACGCTCTTCTCTGCAAAAGCAGTACTATCTTTCTTCTTCTTATGGCATCATCGTATCCTAATATCAAAATTTCACCAACGATTGAGCTACAGTTTTCTTGGACTTGCTGCTGAATCCATGCCTTGAAAAAAGGAAGATAATTTAAATGATGACCCCATTTGTTTGTTTTGGTTTTTTTTTTGGTCAAACTTGACTGTGATAAAAAAATCATTAAAACACAAGAGAAAAGACACAAAACTCTGCTGATCCAGGCAGCAACCGGCACTATCCACACCAAGTGTTTAAACAAGACAGGGTATGACCATGGTGAAGAACATGTGTCTAAGTGTTTGCAAGCAGCAAGAAAACAAGAGAGATTCTGAAAGAAATATGGAAGCCACTGACTGAGCACATACGCAATAACAATCTGGGACTGCCAGATTCACCGAGGAGTGATCACCATTCTGTGCCATGTCACCGCAGTAATATCATCTTAAAATCACTGGTAGAACATCCTCACTTTGTAGCCATCACTTCATATGTCAAAAGCTGCTAAATGCAGTTTACAACCTGCAAGAGACCTCTGCCTCAGACACAAAGCCAAGCCCCCTGCTGACCTTGGATATGCCTGAATCAGGTGGCAAAGCTGAATCTGCCTGTGTTCGCTGCTGTCCAAAACCACCACTATTCCTGAGACTGAACACACTAACAGGCACCCAAGGTGTATCCGATCAGGGGAGACACATTGAAACACCAGGCTGCCAGCCTTATTTTATTTCCAGTTGTTCTATACACCAGCTGCTGTGATTTGTGTGGCTTTACAGCTCTGTTGCACATGCTGCTCTGATGTACCAATCCAGAGACTCCCAGTACAACTTCCTCCTAGTATGACTGCCTTGGGCTTTGACAGAAGCTATTTAGGTGGGAGCACAGCAATGCAATTTCACAATTAGTTTCTGAAGGTATGTATTTTAAATTAATCAGACCTGCTGCTCATGGGAAATGTGCAGAGAGGCAGAATAATTGCCTGGTTTATTACAAATGGTTTTCAAAAAATTAGCCTACAATTCCAGCATCTGGATTCAGAGCTTATTTCCATGACTTGCTTCTTTGCATTATACATCTTCTTATTGCAAAGACACATGGAAAGCAGCACTCCCATTACTATTTCTGTAACGGCACCTTGGCCTTGTTTATGAAAGGTACCACCATCTGTGGATGGCCCTGGAGATAAGAAAAAAGGAATGTAACTATGTGAGATAATATTCAAACAACAGTAAAGGAAGAGATGTGAGAGCATAAGTTTATGTAATGAAGACTGTCAACTTGCTATAATTTAGATGAGGACGCAAACTTCAGGAACGGAGGAAATGGTTCAACAGCAGCAAGTGACCATATCCCAAGGAAGAATCACAGAACTTCTTAGCCCCATCTGATGACATTTCTAAAGGAGGCCTATAAGAGACCACAGCACGTGGGCAATAAGCATCATGCCACCCAGTGCTGCCAGCACCAAGAAGGCTGCATACATCAAGTTAACGTAATCTGGATGTCAACATTGCTAAGATGCTACCTTGTCAAAAGGAGAAGCCTAAATGCTTGAACTCTAAGCCTAGAGATGAACACACGCAAGATAGGGTGAAGAGAGAAGAAAGAACCATCAGCAGAGTGCTGAGAAAGCGTTATTCCACAGCTACTGGGAAAGTTAGAGGAATACCTATTCTGAAAGATGCAAATTATTTCATAGAATCACAGAATAGTTAGGGTTGGAAAGGACCTTAAGATCATCCAGTTCCAACCCCCTGCCATGGGCAGGGAAGCCTCACACTAAACCATATCACCCAAGGCCTTGCCCAACCTGGCCTTGAACACTGCCAGAGATGGGGCAGCCACAGCTTCTCTGGTCAAGCTGTTCCAGTGTCTCACCACTGTTGTAGTACAGAATTCCTTCCTTGTATCTCATCTAAATCTCCCCTGTGTAAGTTTGAACCCAGTATCCATCCCAACCATTGTGTTGATACACTCTGCCTTGAGATTTTCTGAATAATTACTGGATAAAGAAATATTCTGGAAGCAGAGAGGGAAGATCTGAGCATGAAATTCTGCTGAATTCTCTTAACCAAGGATCTGGCAATTTCCAGTGAACACTATTTCTTAAGAATGTGTGCCACATTTTTAGGGAAGTAAAATACTTGTAGCTGCCATTATGACTACTGACTTTCATAACGCTCAAAAAGTATTTTGGACACTTAAAACAATTTAACACTGAAATCTCAGCTCCTGTCTTTGAAACTACTTTTTAATAACCTGCCAGAGGACAGGACACATATCAGAAAGAAAAAGTCTATTACTATTACTTATAGAATGCCAAATACTCAACAGTACTAAAGCTTACAGCACTATAGCAAAGATGAGGATTTTTACTAAACAAAATTGCCTGTCTCCCTATAGAAATTCCTTCAATACAGAGGAGAAATTTACTTCAACAGAGTGCCAAGATCTGCTGATAGCCTAATTAACAACACTGAGAAAAGCAGCATGACCCCTAAGTGTCCCAAATCCATCCTGGCAGCTCAAAACCAAATTTTAGATGCTAAATGAGCAGGGTAACATCGTGAATGATTTTGAGAAATAGTGTCAGTCTCTTCCCAAAGGAGGATAATCAGTTCTTATTGCTTCCATTCATTCCTCCTTACATTATATCTTCTACAGTCACAGAGAAGGCAGAATCAAATCAACTTGAACCAGGTCAGCCTGTCCTCTTTTGCATCTGTTCACATTGGTCTTAAAAGCAGCTGTCTCTCTGATATCCACCAAAACATCTGCCAAAAGTTCTACAAAACCAAAGCGAGATGCCAAAAATGCATACAAACAGCAGCTTGCTCCTGTGTGCTCACATAATTTTATTTTTAATTTCTCTGTGCCCAAAGGCATACGTATTTTCTACTCACTGGAAACAACCTGATAAATTGGTGACATATTTCACCTGAAATTATTTTTCCTGAAGTAAATTTGAAGACATAAAGCAGTCAGAGAATGCATACAGCTACATGTGTTGCATAAATAATCAGATTTCTGGAAGGACTGTGAAAACATATCACGTACAAGACAGTCTGCTCTCTATTTTTCCACCAAAATCTCTTTAGTTGGACATCACTGGATGACTTCAGAAAGAAAAATGGCTGGGGGATGCAGAAAAAATAGCTGCATGAAAAAACATTCTCAAAACTATTAATAATTATGGCGAGGAAAAAAGCCTCCTCCCTATAAATAATAAAATTAAAAAAGGAATAAGAGACATTAGTTCACAGGGTACCACGAGGACCATGCAAACACCAGAACATTTTGTGCATGGAAAAGCTGTACTGGCTGAACAGGAGCAAGAAACAGATGATCAGCAAACAGTAAACAAGTAATGTTTGAGAATAACATGGTGGGAAGATCACAGTCACTCTGTAAGGAACCCCACTATCCCCACAGCTTTTCTAGCGTGCAGGGTTTTCTTCATGTCCTCAGGTGGAATAGCATTTAAAAGCTTGCTGCCATGGCAAATGCTACCAAAAGCAGGGCAAGGGCTGGTTATGGATTCACTTGCAATTGCTGCCATTTGTCACAATCTCCAAACTTATTGCCCTTGATTTAATCAGGCAATTGTATTCTGGGAACACTTACGCAATAAATTTAAAGTGACTCTCAGAGCAATTGAAAAGTTGTATTTGTACTAACTGGTTTTTGGGTTTATTTTAATAATCATCCTTTTTTCCTGCTTCATATTTGGAAACTTATGTTTTGTCTTACAGCACTCAGTTTCACCATGTTGACAAGCATCATGCCAATATACTGTCTCCCCGATTCTTAGCCCAGCAGAAACCAGGAGTCTTCTAGAATCAGGGCTTGTTTTGGTCTTATAGGAATCAATGACTCAGTTTGTGTTGGTTCATGGCTGATGGGGGCAGAGGTGAACAAAGAAAACAACCCTCAAAAAGAACCCAAAACACATATGCCTTGATTGCATATGCCTTGATTAAATAAAGCACTGCATCACTTGAAATTACACACATGCTTCAGGGCTCTGGTGAACCCAGACCAACGTAATGATTATAAAACTACAGGGGGATGTATTTGAACAACCACACGAGCCTATGAGATCCTAAAAGGAAAACATCAAATATGAATGTTAAGTGTGTACTCATAGTTGAAGCAAGAAATTAGAGAGTCGTGGGCTGACACAAGATATCATTCCTATATAGCAGAATGTGCTTCCATTTCCAGAAAGGATAAATGCAAATCCAAAATAGAGCTAACAAGCAGAAGAGTGACTGGCTTCACTCTTAATGCCAAACAGCACCATGGCAGCTCTTCTGCAGGAGTGCAGATACAACCATCCCCTTTCACTCTGGAGGTTCTTTGCTTCATGCTGGTGACACAAGTTTTGCTTGAAGTTATGCTCCTAAGAAACAAAAATGCACTTTCTACACCCAGTATTATGGGACAGTTTCAGTTTTGGCAAAGCACAAGTTCTCAGAGCTTCTCTGTGAATAACATTATTCTACCTCAGGCCCATCCTTTTAGCTCTACACCGCTGGTTTTGCTCATTGCTTCATACATTCTTCCCCTTTTCATATGAATGGGATACAATAAAGAAAAAAGAATACTTCTCCATTCCAAATGGTTCAGCAGCCAAAGGGTGTAGATTGCACAAATACACATGAAGGGCAGTAAAAGAGGGATAAAAATAAGTATGTAATTCAAATTGTGCTGCTGCTGGCAAGTTTGTTAGGAAAGGCTAAATAGAGCTGACCAAAATTACATACTGTTGTAACAATGGTACAAATTGGTTACCTGGAGGAAGGAAACAATATAGTTACTGCAATCAAAGCAACAACAAAAATAATGTATTACCTGATATCAGAAAGATCACATTTGTTTCCAGCAATGGCCATTACAATGTTTTCAGGACCATGTTCTTTTAGTTCTTTCACCCATTTCTTCAAAGTATGAAACGAATCCTAAGTCAGAGAAATAACAAATAAGCTAAAAGCCAAGGCTCCACTGATGTATTTGCTTATTTTGTGAAGTTAGAGGAACACAGTTTTGACAGTATTAATGCAATACTAACTTTGTAGATCACAAGACCAGATCACTTTATCTATGTAATCTGCTTTTTAAACTTTAGGTTATAAGACTTCCTCGAATTAATCTTGAACTTGGACATTTGGCCCCTTTGCCCACGTCCCTTTCCCCTCTCCCCCAAAGCACTGAATGTTTTTCTTAAACTTTCCTTTTTTGGCTAGTAGCCATTTCCTTCACTTTTAATGTGAGCTTCATTTATCTAAGTTCTGCCCAATGAGTTAACATCCCAACCACTGTCATATTTTCAGTAACACCCAGGAAAGCTTTCACAGTGACACTCCTCTCCCCTCATCTCTGAATCTGTGACCTGCTAACCCCCAATTTACTCATTATGAAACCAAAGGGACAAGTGAATATTCACTTGGCTTTTTCCCTCCAAGTACAAAATCCAAACACTTTTTGATGTTACCTTTTAATAGTAAATTTTCTATTTCCTTACACTGATGAACAAACAGCATTAAAATCACTGTTGCTCCTAGGTTGAAATTATTACTGAAACTCAAAGTGAGCTCCCAGATATATAATAAACTGTTTTCCCCCTTCAGAAATGCACCTAAGAGTTATGTCTAAATCAGCAACAGCTGTCTCAGTATCATTGAAGGGAGAACACTATCAGTCATTTGGAGAAAAATGAAATCCATTGTTTTAATGATCAACAGTGAATATTAAGCATCAGAAAGTGAAAAACACATTGACCTTCCTCTCCTGTTTTCCCCTCTTGAGCTGTTCCACATAAGCTTGGAGAAAGGCAGGCAAAATAAAACTCTATTCTTACAATGCATTACAAGATCAACTGTGAGATACATGAATTAAGAATAAACATCAATCCAGCATGATTCACTCTTCCTCATCTTTTCTTGGGAAATTAGAAAAGGAGAACAGTACTGCTGTGCAACAGTGGCCACCATCATCATCCACAGATCATTACACTAATGCACTGGAGAATCAACCCAGCCCTCCCAGCCTAGTAGTAAATAATTCAATTGGCAGGGAAGGAGTAAAATGCTAGCAAAGTGTCATGACCATCCACCCATTAACACCACCTCTAAGTCAGCTTTATCAGCAGGGGTTTCTTTTAAAAGCAGTGGAAGAGGCATTCAGCTAGAACCTCCTTGACTCCTCTGCCTGAAAACTGAGCCAGAGCCTTTTAGGATCAGAAAATATAATTTTCATTTCAAATTAATAATGTTAAAACAAAGGCCAGAGACTTTATATTTCATTACTGGCTTCAAAGTTAAGATATGAGTCCCACAGTGCAAACAGGAGATGATATGCTTAGTTAAAAATAATTAGTTTTAAAATCAGTAATATGCAAGCAACTGAACTTGTGTTCCATTGATAAAGCAACCAGCCGCTTTTCATAGTAAAAATTCAATTCCATACAGAGAACAGAGGTGGTGGTGGTGGGAGGGGGTATTGCAGGGTATTATCCTGTCTACTCAGCCAGAGGAAATCCAAAGGAACTGACAAAATGCAGTCTCTGACCTTTTGTCTAGATGAAGTTTAAAAAACACAGAAGCAGAACTTCGTGTTTAATTTTTTAAGCCAGTGGACACCTCCATCCAAGTCTACACAAACTATCAAAGCCCCACAACAGGGATTAACTTGTAAAAGCTTCTGAAGTTATGGGTTTTAATTCCAGCGCTGGTCCAAGCAGAAGAGTTGACTCAAGCAAAAAGCATACAGGTGGTCTTACCTGTTTGGTGATATCATAAACTATCACGGCTGCTGCTGAACCTCGGTAGTACATTGGAGCCAAGGAATGAAACTGTTAAAACACAACACCCCCCCAAAAAAACATCATTAATAAATCACAATTATCACAATCTGTGTCAGATCACAAAGACCTGCCATGGCAGGACCACTGACTTTCTTTCATCCCATAGAGAAGAGACTTTTTGAGTGGTTGCCCATCTCTAATTTTTCTCAAATGTCAAAGAAGCAGAGATCCCTTATCTCCTGCTGTTCTTCATCCTGATGGATTTATGTAATCAACACTTAGTGGTTCAATGCATCTTTTCCGCTAAAGGGCACGGACTCTGAAGACAAATTCTGATACACAGATCACCTACACTTGCAGGGCCAACTTGACAGCATTTAGACCCCTTCACCTGACAATCCGCAACATTTTGCTTTGTAGTTGGTAACAGACTGGATTCAGCTGGGGCTCGAGTTTTATAAAACACTGCAAATGACTTGGATAAAATTAACTTGTCAAAAAACTCTGACCACCTGTCATGTTTACTTATCTATGACAGATAGTTAGAAAAACACAGGTTCCTGCAGTTCAGTTACTCTTCAGCTTCTTGTTTCAAGGGAAACATCCTCCAAGAAAAAAACCACAAGCAATAAATATGTTTATTATAACAACAGCTTGCCAATGACAGCATAATTTTCGTAATTTACCATGACTAAGCAGCTGATTTATAATTTCAGCTTATAATTACACAGAGAAAGGAAGTCGAAAAGGCTTTCTGCTGATTCAACTGAACTTTGTCTTAAGCAAACTAAAAATAATCTTTCTTGGAAAATACATTTACCCTCACTGTACTCTCGCAGCCATTTCACAAATCTTTATTTGCAAAGTGATCTGCAAAAGCTTCATATAAAGCTGCAGCTAATAGCAGAGGTCAACTGCTAAATCCAATGCATTACTAGGGCAGGGCATGAATCCCACTGCCCACTGAACATGCACAGATCCACGTGTTACGTTGCAAACCTCTGCAGATTTACTGGACACATCCTTTTCTCAGAACTGCGATTACAGACTGAGCATTTAGACCTAGCAGCCTGCACGTTTCTTGCTGTTTCACGTACTACGTATAAAGTGAGTTAATTGTAGTATCGGTTCATTTGCCAGTGTGTAAGCTGTTCATCACAGATAACACACTCGGTTCAAGGTTGATACTTTCTCTCATAACAGCAAGGATGCACAACAGCAGTGACAGATGGTCAAGTGCTGAAGTGCTTTGGGGAGCGAGGCAGGTGGGAGAGTTCGTTAATAGGAGAAAACAGCAGGAAGGAGGATGAGAAAAGAGAGAGGAATCGGTCAAGAAGCATGATCTTAAGAAAAGGGATCAGCCAAGATCCTGGGGGAGCTGGTGAGACACACGTTCTTCAGGCTTTCAGTGTGTGGCTTGTATTACTTGCATGTTTAATGCAACAAATGCTTTCCAGATTTTTTGGGCTTCCAGATCATGCCATTCATTTCCAGTGTGTTGGACTAGAATAGGCTATTTCAGTTGGAAGGGACCTACAGTGATCGTCTAGTCCAAATGTCTGACCAAACCAGAGCTGACCAAAAGTTAAAGCATGTTATTAAGGGCATTGTCCACATTCCTCTTAAACACTGACAGCTTGGAGCACAGACTACCTCTCCAGGAAGCCTGTTCCACTGTTTGACCACCATCTCGGTAAAGAAATGCTCCCAAATGTCCAGTCTGAACCTTCCCTGATGGGACGCAGCTTTGAACCATTCCCTGGATCTGAGGCAGAACAGATCAGCATTTCCCTCTCCACTTCTTGGGAAGCTGTAGAGAGCAATGAGGTGGCCGCTCAGCCTCCTTTTCTTCAGAGTAGACAAGCCCGAAGTCTTCAGCTCCTCACAGGACATTCCAGCTCTTTCAGCTTTGTTGCCCTCCTCTGGACACAGTCAAGGACCTTCACATCCTCCTTAAACTGTGGGGCCCAGCACTGTACACAGCACTAGGAGTGAGGCCACAATCACCCCTTTTGACCAGCTGGTTCTGCTGTGTTTGATGCACCCCAGGATGCAGTTTGCCCTCTTGGCTGCCAGGGCACACTGCTGACTCCTACTGAGTCTACTGCTGACCAGCACTGCCAAGATTCCTTTCTGCAGGGCTGCTCCCCAGTCACTCACTCCCAACTTATATTAGCGCCTGGCATTACTCCATCCTAGGTGCAGAATTCAGCATTTCAACTTGCCAAATTTCATCCCATTAACCATTGCCCAATTCTCCCACCTATCTAGATCCCTCTGCAAGGCATCTTGTTGCCCAAGAGAGTCAACAGCACCTCCCAGTTTGGTATTGTCAACAAACTTACTAATGGTGCGTTCAACTCCTCCATCCAGACCACTGATAAACATCTTGAACACAACTGGCCCTACAATTGAACCCCGAGGAACACCACTGGTGACACCCAGATGTAGCCCCATTCACTATAACCCTTTGAACTCTGCCTCACCCAGTGTTCCATAAACCCACTAATCACACAGTTGGATAACTTGATGATGTGAGAGGCAGTATCAAAAGCCTTACTAAAATACAGAAAATCTACAGATTTCTTTCTAAATTACAGAAATTCATCGCCTTCCATTCATCCATTAGCCAGGTGACCTTATCACAGAAGGATATCGAATTAGTTAAGACTGTCCCTTTGTGAGCCCTCCTCCCCCATGCCCTTTCTGTAGACTGGAATAACACTGGCTAGCTTCTAGCCAGCAGGGCCCTCCCCAGAATCCCAGGTCCTTTGGTAGATGATGGAAGAGGGGTCCTGCTGTAACATCCGCTAGCTCCTTCAGAACTCTGGGATGAATCCCACCAGGTGCCATTGACTTGTGAACATTCAGCTGATACAGCTGACTCCTAACAATTCCAATGTCTACAAATGAAAAGTCACTGTTCCTGCACTTGTAGTCCTTCAACGCAGGGGACTGGACAGCCTGACATCTATCAGTGTTATTCAAGGCTGAGGCAAAAACCACAATGAACACCTTTGCTTTTTCTTCATCCCTGTTAGTCCCTGTTGACCACGTTCAACAAGAATGTTTTCTTCAGACCTTCTCTTGCTATTAATATACTTTTAAAAGCCTTTCTTGTTATCGGAAACAACACTGTCCCATTTCAACTCTCATTGAGCCTTGGCCTTTCGTGTCTTCTCTCTGCATAAACAAACTACAGCTCTGGACCCTTCTTGAGAAGCCTGACGTTGCTTCCAGAGATCATACAGTTCCTTTTACTTTGTGAGCTCCATGAGGAGTTCCCTGTTCATCCAAGCTGGTCTTCTGTCCTGCTTACTTGACTTGCAACACAGTAGAATTGCCTGCTCCTGTGCAAGTTTCAACTCATGGACTCCTAAACTCTCAAAACCAGATTCCACATGTACTCTGTTAGATAGCTCCCTGAGTAGCTTACCATTTGCCCTCCTGAAGTCCCAGGTGGCAACTCTGCTGTACTTTTTTCCCATTATACTCAACCATTTAATGATCACTGTGGCCAGAGCAGACACCTACCATCACATCCCACAGAAGTCCTCCTCTATTCACAAATAGTAACAGTAAGGGGGGCATCTCTCCTAGTGAGTACCTGTGATAAGAAGTTACCTCCTACAAACTTCAAGAATTTCCAAGACCTGCTCATCAACACATGTGTTGCATTAAAAGCAGACTGAAAATTAGGGACCTTAATTATGGAGGATAGGTCTAACCTTTCATGGTGTATGCACACTCCTCCCAGTCTGAAAACTCTTGGGATAAAACCAACATAGTCTACACACATGGAGATTTGGTTTTAATCTAGATTACACGGTATTCATAAATTTACAAAGAGCTCTAAAATAACAGTAATCATACTTCCCAGGAGCCATGCAGTTAAACTCACATACTTCAGATTCCTTCAGTAATGGCCCAGAAAGCACACTGAGAACCTGTACAACATCTTGGGAATTTCAATCCTTTTTCTTTTGACCAGGTGACAAGAACACTTTCCATAATAGCTGTTTCACTAAAGATTATTGCCAGTGTTAGGGCCAGAAAGTAGTAGTGGTAATAAAAACAACAAAACAACACAAAAGCAGACCTCTTTCACTGGACAAGTAGAATTGAATGCAGACAACCTTTTTTTTTTGGTAGGATTAATCTTTAGCTGGATTCCCAAACCAGTTTGTTGTTCATCAGATAAGCTCCAGGCTCAACCAAAAGGAAAGGGTGGGAAAGCATGGGTGAGAAAAAGAAGGGAAGACAGGACTACTAGAAAGCAGATTCACGAAGTTTTAGACCACAGCCAAATAGCTCTGCGCTTGCAGAACTTCTTTGTGCACATCTCTGCTGGTACAGTCTACTGCCACTGGCAATTTTACTCTCTTTTTCCCGTAATGAAAGCAATGATAATTTAAAATCAGTGCAGGTAATATGCAGAAACAAAGAAAACTTATTTTGAAACATTTCTGGAGATTAATCAGGGACAATGACAACAGTGTGTTGCACTTCAACAACAGAAACTCCTAACTGTGTCAAGCTATGTTTGGCCTGCTGCTTATTTCAAGAAACATAAAAAGCATCAACCAGAGGCGCAGCATGTGGGAGGAATGCATTTAAGACAAAATAATCTACTTAAATATTCTAATTCTTCATAAGATTGGAAAGAGGGAGGGCAAGACCACAGCAAGCTAGGCTCAGAAAGGCAACTGCCTTTGAAAGGCGCTCAGGCTCAGTAGCTGTTGCTAACGTAAGTATAACCTCCCTCATCTACTCTACTGAAAATCTATCTACTTGCTCAGCTGACAGGACAGTTATTTCCTCTTTCATGATTCTTAAGTAATATTTTAGCTATGAGGCCTTTAAAGAGGACAAACATTTTGCCCACATTTGGGCATGTAGCTTCACAATCTGGGTGTTTTTTTAATATCAAGGGATAGATCTCATCTGGCATGTAAATTCATATTCCCATTTGGATAAACCTGACACTCAAGATTTCATATCTTACTTTGGTCAAAGTGCCCAAAATGGGATTGCAATGCATCTTAATG